GGTCCCAAGAGACATTCTTTAGAGGATTTTAGAGAAGAAAGGAATACGAGTAGCATATATCCAAGCTATAAAGGATATGTATGAAGGAGCAAAGACTGCCGTAAGAACTCATGAAGGACAAACCGAAAGCTTCCCCATAACTGTAGGATTACATCAAGGCTCATCCTTAAGTCCTTACCTTTTTGCGTTGGTAATGGATGAGTTAACAGGACATATTCAAGATGATATTCTTTGGTGTATGCTTTTCGTAGACGATATAGTGTTGATAGATGAAACTCAGAAATGGGTAAATGCGAAGCTTAACCTTTGGAGAGAAGTGTTGGAATCTAAAGGTCTTCGCCTAAGCCGATCAAAGACAGAATATATGGAGTGCAAGTTCAGTGCAAATGGAGGTCAAAATGAGTTAGGGGTGAGGATCGGAGATCAGGAAATACCAAAGAGCGATCGTTTTCGCTACTTAGGATCTATCTTGCAAAAGAACGGAGAATTAGATGGAGATCTCAACCATAGAATACAAGCTGGATGGATGAAGTGGAAGAGTGCATCCGGCGTGTTGTGTGACCGCCGTATGCCACTGAAGCTCAAGGGAAAATTTTATAGGACAGCAATAAGGCCGGCGATGCTGTATGGCACAGAATGTTGGGCGGTGAAGCATTAACACGTACACAAAATGGGTGTAGCGGAGATGAGGATGCTTCGTTGGATGTGTGGGCACACAAGAAAGGATAAGATTAGGAATGAGGATATCCGAGGTAAAGTAGGAGTAGTCGAAATTGTAGGAAAATTGAGAGAAAATCGGTTACGATGGTTTGGACATGTGCAAAGAAGGCCTACTGACGCTCCGGTTAGAAGATGCGACTACGGGACAGAGGTTCAGGGCCGGAGGGGTAGAGGAAGACCTAGGAAAACTTTGGAAGAGACTCTAAGAAAAGACTTAGAGTATTTGGATCTAACGGAGGACATGACACAGAACCGAGCACAATGGCGTTCTAAGATTCATATAGCCGACCCCACTCAGTGAGAAGGCTTTGGTGTATTTAACACAATACGTTGAAATGAAACAAAACTTATTTATTGATATCTCCGATAAGTTACAAATAAGTACATATACATGAGTCAAAATAAACAAACAAGAGGGAGCCTTCACAAAGGTTGCTTAGGAGAAGTCTCAGCAGTCGGTAGAGCCCCAGAAAGAGAAGGCACCGGAGGAGGATCATTCGGAGCCTCAGTATTGGACAAAACCCTAGAAGGAGGAGGCATCGAAGGTTGATCATTTGGAGCTTCAGTACGCGGTACAGCCCCAGAAGACGAAGGCAATAAATGCTTTTGGAACAAACCCACAAACCGCTGATGATCAAGTAAAACATGACCATCAGATTCCTTCATCTGGTCAAGCTTCCTCTTCATGTTTGTAGCATAGTCATGTGCGAGCCGGTGCAACTGTTTATTCTCATACTTGAGCCCTCTAATCTCTTATTTGAGACTCATCACTTCAGCCGCTAATGATTCAACTTGGCGGGTTCGAGCAAATAGGCGCTGGGCCATATTAGACACAGAACCTGCACACTGAACACTTAGAGCCAGAGAATCTTTAACAGCCAACTCATCAGACCGTTTGGAAAGTAGTCTGTTATCTTTAGAAGTGAGAAGGTTCCTGGCCACCACCGCAGCAGTCATATCATTCTTCATCACAGAATCCCCAACGGTAAGCGGACCAGTAGGGGATAAGAAGGATGGGCGCCATATGTTGTCTGGAGAAGGCGTGGCTGCCTCTTCAACGAGGTTCAAGTCAAAACGACGGTCGGAGGGGCCAGACATTTTCAAAGCTGTTGAAGAGAGAAGAGGTCGGACAAATCAAGATCTTAGAAGTGCAAGAAGGGAGCTTCTACTGGTGAAGATTCAAGTGTGCTTTGGAACTTAATGCTAGCCTCTATAAAAATCTGCACTCGACGGAGCTTCAGAAATCGAAGAGGCGCCTGTCCAGAAATCGAATAGGCGTTTGCTTTCTCAAAAGCTGGGCTGCTCAGAAACCACGAGGGCCGATCTCAGAAATCGAAGAGGCGTTTGCTTTCTCAAAAGCTGGGCTGCTCAAAGACCACGAAGGCCGATCTCAAAAATCGAAGAGGCGCTTGCTTTCTCAAAAGCTGGGCTGCTTAGAGACCACGAGGGCCGATCTCAGAAATCGAAGAGGCACCTTCTTTTTTCAGCCTTGTCAGCACCTGTCACATGCACACTCAGCTTTGCTGAAATTACGGGCATTCTGTTGAAGATTTCTGGTGAAGTAGAAAGCACGTGAATCTTACTGTTCAATCATCCACTTTCCACACGCACCATCAGCTCATGGGTACCATATATAACTTTGCCAAAGATCTCTGACAAAGTTTAGACACGTGAAGCTTGCAGCTCCCACTACATCGCTATGACCAAGAAGGGTAAAAGAATAGCAAAGAAACAGCACTAACAAAGTTTAGATACATAAATGTTGAAGGTCTAACTACCATATTATTACCTACAAGGATAAAGGAACAGCACCGCTGCTGGATAATTGAAAAGTCCTTGTGTGTCAACCTCTGTGCTCTGTGGCAAGGTAGACTAGCAAACATGCCCAACCTTTACTTACATTCGAGAAAACACTCCCAACAAGATTGCTTGCTCCAAAATCAAAGAGGCACCGTCCTCCGAATCTCGAGAGCCAGACTCCCAACATGATTACTTCTCAAAAATCGAAGAGACACCGCTATCCGAATCTCGAAAGCTAGACTCCCAGCAGGATTGCTCTCTCAAAAATCGAAGAGGCACCGTTTTCCGAATCTCGAGAGCCAAATCTCCGACAGGATTGCTTGTACGAAAACCGAAGAGGCACCGCTTTCTCAACTTCGAGAGCCAGATCTCCTTGGATAAAGCTTGTCTGTAATCTTCACACGCAACATCAGCTTTCCAGATACCACATACCACATTTTCAAAGTTCTCTGACACACGTGAAGCTGACAGCTCCCACTACCGTGCTATGACCAAGCAGGGTAAAAGAATAGCATTACTACTTGTTGTTAGGGAAACTCCTATATATGTCGACCTCCATCCTCAACGGACAGGCAGACCTGCAAAAATGCTCAACCCTTCCTCATATCTGAGAGGGCACTCCCAACGAAGCCTCTCAAAATACTCAGCTTTCTTCCCCCCCCCCCCGATAATACCTCTGCAAACAAGCTACACCAGAGCAAGAATATCTCATATCATCAGGGTTAAAAGCAAGAGTATCCCATATCATGCTTTTTCCTTGTCTTTTTCTTTGGCCTTGTTCTTACCTGCAAGACAAGGAGAAAGAGCAATCAGTCAGCACTTAGAATCAAGCTTCTAGTCAAGAACTGATTGCCTGGAACCCCTTACCTGATTACTTGCATTGCTCTCGAGTACCCATCTTCAACATCTTATGCTTCCAGAGAAAATACCACATCTGTCTGAGGAACAGATAGGGAAAGTGAGAAGGATACAAGGAAGCATGTGGAGACAAGCGTAACAGAACATGTGCCGATACATCCACTACTTTGTCAACAGCAAAAGTATCCCATATCAGCAAGGTCGAACGTACTCTAGATTTGATGGACGTGTTTTGACCCTCAAATTCTTCAATCGGCCTTATACTCTGGAGGAAACCAGAAAATCCTCCAGCCCAGTTCAAGAATAAGCCTGTGGAAAGTTACTTCTTCAAAAGCAAAAGTATCTCATATCATCTATTCTCCTTTTCTTCTCTTTATCCTTCATGCTGTCTGCAAGATAGGGAGAATGAGAACAATCAGCCGGAACTCGAAATCAAACTTCTGATCTAGGACTGATTGCTTGGAGCTCTGATTGCTTACCTTGTCTGTCACCTCTTTCAGCAAATCCCCTAGCTCGGCGACTTGGGAGACTCCTACTATAAGGTTTGTATCGCGCTTGACCAAGCCTGAAACTACAAGTAAGCTTCAAGTAAAATTGATACATTACCTTGTGCATCTCCACCAGTTAAAGATACCACCCCTGGATGGAGGAAGCGTACTTCCAGAGAAGACGCCACATCTACCTATGAGACAGTTAAGGCAAGTGAAGACGAGAGCCTGCACCTATGTCATTTGTACTAAATCATTCACTTGTACTCACTAAAGAAGAGCTTGAACCTATGTACTTGCGTAAACCCTTCACAATTAATGAGAACTCCTCTACTCCGTGGACGTAGCTAATCTGGGTGAACCACGTACATCTTGTGTTTGCTTTCCTGTCTCTATCCATTTACATACTTATCCACACTAATGACCAGAGCAATCTAGCGAAGATCACAAACTTAATACTCTCTGTTGTACCAAAGTCCTCACTGTTTTTGGGCATCAACAATCCTTAAGTCCTTACCTTTTTGCGTTGGTAATGGATGAGTTAACAGAACATATTCAAGATGATATTCCTTGGTGTATGCTTTTCGCAGACGATATAGTGTTGATAGATGAAACTCATGAGGGGTAAATACGAAGCTTAACTTTTGGAGAGAAGTGTTGGAATCTAAAGGTCTTCGCTTAAGCCGATCAAAGACAGAATATATGGAGTGCAAGTTCATTGCAAATGGAGGCCAAAATGAGTTAGGGGTGAGGATCGGAGATTAGGAAATACCAAAGAGCGACCGTTTTCGCTACCTAGGATATATCTTGCAAAAGAACGGAGAATTAGATGGAGATCTCAACCATAGAATACAAGCTGGATGGATGAAGTGGAAGAGTGCTTCCAGCGTGTTGTGTAACCGTCGTAGGCCACTAAAGCTCAAGGGAAAATTTTATAGGACGGCAATAAGGCCGGCGATGCTGTATGGCACAGAATGTTGGGCGGTGAAGCATCAACACGTACACAAAATGGGTTTGGACATGTACAAAGAAGGCCTACTGACGCTCCGGTTCGAAGATGGGACTACAGGATAGAGGTTCAAGGCCGAAGGGGTAGAGGTAGACCTAGGAAAACTTTGGAATAGACCCTAAGAAAAGACTTAGAGTACTTGGATCTAACGGATGATATGACACAAAACCGCGCGCAATGGTGTTCTAGGATTCATATAGCCGACCCCACTTAGTGGGAAAAGGCTTTGTTGTTGTTGTTGTACTCTTTCAAGGGAAGGTTACTAAGCCACCCAATAATATTACCTTGTCCTTAGCCTTTTTTTCACCAGCAACCTTAGCATCAACAGAAAAAAGCTTCAAAAATGGTGTATCTGCATCATCGATAACATCAAGGTCACCTTTTCTCACCTTGGATTTCTCTGATTTCTTTCCAACCCTGGTATTGTCTTCTGTATGGGCTGAACTCTTTTTCTGCTTCTTCTGTTGCGATGCTTTCTCAAAATCCCCAGTATTCTCAAGATTACCACGATCATCTTCATTTTGCACTTGATGTTTGCGGTTCTTTTTCTTGACGGGATCTCTTTTTTCATCCCCCTCGACAACAACAACATTGTTTGAGGTGTTGTCTTTTGATCCCTGCCTTTTCCATTTCGATTTCTTTGTATCAGAATGACTAGCATTTTCAATATCACCATTGGTTTCACCCATTGCACGATGTTTGAAATCTCTATATTTTGGCTCTTCTGTTTGAGTTTCTTACTTGCTAGCAGTATTAAGTGAAGAATCATCTTCATCAATTCCAGCGCCCTTTCCATTCTTGATGTATTTATCTATGGGCCTTGCATTGAATACGTGGAGGTTCAGCAACATCTTTTTAATCTACAGTAACATTGTTTCTATAAGTAAATTTAACAAGGGTAATCTAGTGTCAGAATAGAGATCTAAAAATAAAAAATGACTAGGACAACAACTAGTACCTTCTTTACTAATTTATCCTTTTCAACAACAGTGTTTCCTTGCAGATTGAGATTCCACAGATTGACCAATGAATTGATTACCTACCTCAGAATACCAAGAATCAAGGCCAAAAAATATTCCCATAAGATAAAAGAAATATAGAGAAACAAAAGTTCCAGGTCATTGGATCTAACCTTCAGATCTGACTATCTTGTGATCACATTATTACCCATGTCCAAATTCTGGAGCTTCTTATTAAGAGCCAACTCGGCTGAGAGACTCTGAGTAGCATGCACAGAGACGGTGGGTGAGTGAGTAAGTGAGAAAGAGAGAGCATCATAGCATACAAAACCAGGCAACACACAGTTATCAAACTTAGCTACTTGAACAAAATTAGTTTTCAACACTTGTGAAGAAACAGTAGAGGAAATCACTGCGTAATCATTAAAGGAAATAATTACAACAGTTGAGTAGGGTAGGAGGTAATTACAAGAAAACGGTATTTTAAAATCTACAATGTTTTCCAACAGGTAAACCAATCAGCAGAAAACAAACCTTAATATCATTATGAGCAAGACGGAGCCCTTTCAGTTCAATACAGAACTTGAGCGAAGCCTCTATAGTCTGAAGTTGGCAGTGACAGAAAGTAAGCTGAAACCAAGAAAATTTCAAGGGTTTAGCTAAATTTAACTGAAATTATCACAAAGGACAATCAATCACCAGAAAAATGCTTACCTTTGTGATAGATTTCATCTTCTTCAGAGAATCACCAATGTCATGGATCGGATTTCTAGAAAGAACTACAGAAAAGTCCCAAAGTAAAAGAGCAGAATTCATATCAATCATGAAAAAAAAAATTTACATTTCTTGATAATTATGAATCATGAACAAGAATAGCAGGAAAAAAAAAACCAACACAATATGAGGTTATCAGCTTTGTAGTGTGAGAAAAAGAAAATGGGGGAAATTGTGGCTTTTCATTCAGATTTATTCTGAACAAAACTCCACCGAGAAATGTAACAAACTAATGAGAAACTGCTATCTAGGTGACCCCATACATGTTAATAAATTTGAATTTCACCTCTAAACAAAGGTAACTACATAAAGACACTCAATGAAAGGATCTCCACCTCATGTTTTATATCCTACCTTTTATCCACTTCAAATAAAATAAGATAAAAACAGTCCGTATACAAAATTGGTTATCTTTATTACAATAAAACTAAAAGTAATGTCATTATTGAATTCAGGAAGGAAAAAAAACTTTAGAACGCATACCAAGAGTGTTCAGTTCTCTTAACAGTTCAAGTCTGCAAATTGAAGCAATCTCATTATCTACAAAACCCAGAAGATAAAATGAGAAACTGGGAGAGAGAGCAAGAGAGAGAGTACTTTAAGTGGTCACTACCTTCCAGTGTGGCAAATACATATCCTCCAATACTACTATTCACCATAATTGGCCCACTTGACTTGGGATATCATGAATTTAAGCTATTTCCTCTCTTATATCAGAATGGTTTCTTGGGTTTGAAGCCATTGCTTTCTTGCTCTTATTGTTGCGAGAAAATGTTCTTACGGTTCTACCTACCATGCTAAAAAGGTTTTCTATCATAAGAACATTCTACTATGGTGTCATTAATACTACTAGCCTTGCTTTTTATGGGTGCCCATTTAGTTCGCTTGGGTATCCCCTTTTGTATGTCATTCCATTTTTATTTTGTTTCACAAACATCAAAATGTAAAGGATGAAGGATGAGCCCAAATGATTTCTCAAAATGTTCAAACAAAATCTCACCATTCAAAATTACTGCACGTAAGCTCACAATAGACTTTGACCTCATCCATCGCCTTAAGCTTATTGTTGCCAGCATTTAACACCTGATTACAAATATTGAACAAAGTGACTCTAGAACCCAAATTGTGGATTTACTGATTATAGAATTATCTTGACTTGGTCAATAGCCAATTATTTAAAAGGAATGAAAGAACTTAAATGAACAAATTTCTACAAATATAAACTATCAGCATTCTTGTTTGTAAGCTGTCTAAAAAAGTGTTTCTGCGAAGTGGGGAAACAAAGAAGTGAAAGAGGACCAACCTCTATCAAGGCCTACCTTTTACTTCTCAGATTTGAGAAGCTGAGAGCTGTTTAAATACATTATATCCTAGATAAGTCCTTAAAAATCCGTTTTCCCCATATTTTCCCCTACAAACAGATACAAGCAGGGGAAAACTAGAGATTTTTTGTTCTTCACTTTTATCCTAAGTGCCAACAAAGACTTCAAAACACACCATCAGGTTAGTTCAATCCTTCCAACTGTTATAACTTTTATTCTATGTCTTTTTTTCTTTTACTTTGTCTAATCTAGTCATAAATTTCCTTGTGTAGTATAATTATTTCATCTTTATTCACTCTAGTTTTGAAGTGTTTTCTATCAATTTCATTTATTTACCTGGAGCTAACCCTCCTCATACTACAGGAGAAAGTAGCTGACAGTAGGTCTACGATTTATCAAGTTGTGACCCAAGCCAACGAAGCCACAAATTATGGCTTCTTAGGATAGAGTTTGACATACTCTATATACTGATTTTCAAATCACCTTTGATATGATGTAACCATAATACAATAGCACATTCTTAATATCAACTTTTTTTGTCTTACAAGATTTCCTTGGTTGTAGCACACATGAGTCTTCCATTCAAAAACATATCAAGCATGATAACAATACTACATAGCACTGCAAGATATAGTTTTGAATGAAAGACCCATGTGAGCTAGAACCCTGCCCTGGGTATAAGCTCTTATTCTTATACATGCAAAATGGCATGTAATTAACAGAAAGGAACTTAATATATGTAAACTTAGTAGCCATGATTTTGTGCTGTTTACGAAATAATTTCTCCATAAAGCACAAGCAAGTACATGAGAAAGAAAACTATTAGGTTAAAAAATCCTAATCATTGGATGTGACAGAAAACTTGAACACCATAATGGCCATATGTTTATTAAGTTTCCGGTCTGAACAACAAGGAGTACGGTAGTATAAAAATACCGCCTGACCAAGATAGACCAATTGAAATTTCAAAATTTCCCACTAAATGAGCTTCTGTAACTAGTCCAGGCTAAATGATGCACTACCCTCAACAAAGTTCGACATCCATATTCCGCTAATATCAAGTAGCTAAAAGGAACTTCCAACACCCACATTTTGACTAAAATCAAAAGTAGAAAACAGTCGGTACTTACTATTCCGTTGAGGTTCTGCAGCTTATTATTCGCGACAGATAGCCATTTCCAATTGACACATGACTTCAACCCCTGATTTTCAAGCACACAAATTTAGCTTCCACAAAATTCACATCACAAAAAAGAAGACGGCTAATCGATCAATTACCTTGAGAGAAGTGAGGTTTTGTTGAAGCTGAGGTCGAAACTCTCCAAGCTCTTGAACTCGCCCAAGCATGAAACCTGCCCATTTTTGCAAATCACGATTTAATTGTACCCATAAAATGAAATTTGTAAAATTGACAATAATCCCATACGAAATCAAGAGAAAGACAGGGCAAAGACGACGCCGTACGTACGTCGGAGAGAGCCTTGTGATTGAGCCTCCAGAGTGTTGTTGTAGCCTCCAGAGTGTTGTTGTTATGAACCCATAATAGGTCTCAATTGTGATTGTCTTAATCGATGATTTAGAGTGTTAATGGGAGGTTTTATGCTTTAGTTTTTAGTATTAAGGACTTAAATATGCCAACTGGAATTTTAAGGGGTAGAGTTTGTATAAAAGGAGCCCAGCTCCCAGAAAACAAAGGAGATGAGAATTTACACAAATGAAATTAAATACAAAAATATTTGGAGCTCTGCTCCTTCATCTTCCTTCCCTCTTCCTCTCTATCTTATGTGTTACTTGCAGATTGATTAAGGGCTGAGAGATTTGGATCTTATCATTGGTATCATCCTTCTCGAATCCTGGTTTCCCTCCTGTGCACACCCGCCAAACCGCTGCCCCTCGTTTCTCTTCCCTAGAAGATTGTGTTACTTCCTTGGAGGCTACAATGGCCTCGTTACCTTCCCTCATTGATGCTGCTATCGAAAAGGCTTTTGCAACCAAGCTTCCTGCATATTTCGACAAATTTCGTAGAGAGCTGCACTTTCGAAGTGCCGGGGAAGGCATCTATGCCCCTCCTGCCACTGATCATCATGTTTCTCTTGCAATTTAGCCTATCCAGCTACCTCAAAGCCCAATATGTGCTGGAGGAGCCCAATTGCAACTTATTCCAACGACAATCCAAGCTCCACCGCTGCTCTCATCTTCACGGTTGTTGCGAGCACTAACAACTTCGGCCGTCAAGCCACAGTCGAACAATTCCATTGCAGCCACAGCTTCTCTGCCAGAATTGAAGAGAAGGATTCATGCTTCGACGATGACCTCGGCTCCCCGCCTACTTCATGAGCACTCGATCTCCGATACTACGGACACTAAACCTGAGGTAGTTCTTAATTTGAGTATCATTTTAGCAACTTCGGAAGCTAAATTCCCTTCTATTTTGACTGATAACTATGTTGCATACCTGAAAGATAAATTTGGATGCGTTAGTTGGTATCTTGTGGGTAAATTTGTGAGGAAGTATTTTTGTGCATGGAAATTGTTTGATGAAATTCCAGCACTCCTAGGATAGGCGACCCACTAAGAAGTTGCTCGTGAGTTCCTAAAAACAAAACAGTGTGGGAATGGTAAACCCAAAGCGGACAATATCGTGCTACGGTGGTGGAACGAGCCCGGGATGTGGTGGACCTGGGCCGGGATGTGACAAAGATGGTAGTGGCAAGATGCGGGTGAACTGGAGAAGAAGGGTAAGGTAGTTTTGTGGAGGAAGAGGAGGAGGGGGAGACACGGGTGGATGGGTGATGGGTTTGTAGAGGTGGGTCCCTCATTTAAAAAAATATTAAATGATTTTATTTTTTAATTTTTAAATATTTAATTATTTTTTAATAGAGAGTGTGTCCCGTCTCAAGCCACGTCAGCATTTAACGAAGGAATTGACAAACAAACTGATGGAAGGTATGACATTGCAACAAATTTGAAGATAAGGTATGATATTGAAATGTTTTAAAGATGAGGTATGAAATTGTGATTGACCCAATAGTTGAGGTAGTTTTGTGTAATTTACCCTAATTTTTATTTTGACATAAAAAATAATATTATTTAAATATTTTTAATTTATATGCTAATATTTAATTAGACTTGTGAGACTCACTTATATGACACATCAACACATAACAGAATTTTTAACGGGATTGTAACAAAATGACCACATTGATTTGCTACATCTATTCTTAGGGACTATATTAATTGATTTTTAATTTCAAGGATCATCTTGATGGAGTGGTTCAATTCCATGGATCATTTGTGATAAAAACCCCAAATTGTTTTTTAACAAACGATATTATCTGCACTAAGAAAAATGTGTGGTTTAAGTCTCACAATAGGCTAGTAATAATGTGGTTCAAATTTGCTTCTGGCGAGAATCGATCCTATGACTTCTCACTTACAAATGTGCCGTTACAGTTTTGTTCTGGGATTTCGAGTACTCTCTCATTGGGCCTCTCTTGTCTTTGTTTCTGCCCTAATTAGGGTTCTAAGTTAGGGGTAAGCACAACCGGGCCGAACAGGGTCGAATATAGAAAACTAAACTGAAATCGAGTCTAACTTGACCCGTTCGAAACAGACCGATTCCTACAAGTTCACGAGTTCAATTTCTTTTTATTTCTTTTTTTGTCGGAACATGAACTTTAGAGAAAATAAAAAATAAAATAAATAAAATAAAGTTGTGTTAGCGATCCACGGCTCCTATACTAGCAGCTGAGCATATGGAGATTAGAGAATTTAAACAAAGAACCTTTTGTTGCTTACATTCCAATATCCATAAAAAAAAATGAGTCTTGTAACTTAATGGGTAAATTACATTTTACCCCTCAGGTTTCGGTGCAATTACAACCTCATACAACATCTTTAAAATATTTCAATCTCATATATTTAGTATTTTTTTTTTCAATTTCATACAACTGTTAAAAAATCTGTTAAGTTAACCGTTAAGTGATGATGTGGCAAATAAGGGGTCCCTATTTGTGCTGACGTAGCTGCCACATTTATGGCACGTGGCTAAACACTTAATAAAAATTTTAAAATATTAAATTAATTAATTAAAGAAAAGTTATAAATAAATAAATAAATAATATATATATATATATATATAAAGCCCAGAAATCCTCTTCATCTTCCCTACCCCCTTTTCCCCAGTCGAGCCCACCCCCAAATCAGACACACTACCTCTCTCTTTATAATCCCTAGCTCCAAAAATCCAATATGTTTACGCCCCATCAGCCTCACTCCCACTCTCACCGCCGTTCGATCGACCCCAAAATCTGGAGGGTCTGCACTGGAAACTCCGTCCAAATCTCATCCCTCCACTCTAGGGTTTACTACTTCCCTCAGGGCCACTTCGAGCAATCATCCACCTTCTCCTCCGTCGTAGTTTGGACCTAAATTTACATCATCGGCCCGGGCAATCAAGGTCGTTGAGTGAGCATAGCTCCCAACCGTCAGATGGAAAGTACAAATAATTTTATTATTGTTAAGGGGTAATATTATGATTTCTTTTAATTATCTTTTAATCAGGAATTATCTTAACGTTTTCTTATCCAAAATGAATGGGATGCAAACTATATCTGTGAACTGGAAGTAAACAATACAGTTCGAGCTGAGGACTTTTATCACATGGCATCCAATTAGATTGAATCTTTGAAAAAGATTGTATTGGAATGTCAGGATGGAAAAGATGGGATCAAGCTTTGATTGATGTGATAAGGCGTGGACTTAGGTGCATATAGGATAAAGTTTTCAAAGCTTCATTTATTATTGTGATTATGCATGGGATAAGTGCATGGTCAACAGCAACAAATAAAGACTCAAAGTCACAATGCAATTAGGATTGGTTTCCATGACTTAGGCATGCGAGTCTCTATGGTACCATTTGGTATGCAGACTGGACGGGACAAAACAGGATGGGATAAAACAGAACAGAGGTTCTGTGTTATGTTTGGTACGCGCAGGATGAAACAGAGCAGAGGTTCCATGTTATGTTTGGTACGCGCAGGACAGAACGGAACCGAACCAAAAGGTTAAATGACTAACTTACCCCTGTTCCGTTTGTTGTTTGGTACAATGTTTGTGCATGGGACGGGACGAGACAATACTGTTGATGCACAAAATCAGTGAGGACTTTGGTACAACAGAAAGTGTTAAGTTTGTGACCTTCGCTAGATTGCTCCGGTCACTAGTGTGGACAAGTATGTAAATGGATAGGGACAGGGAAGCAAACACAAGATGTACATGGTTCACCTAGATTGGCTACGTCCACGGAGTAGAGGAGTTCTCATTAATTGTGAAGGGTTTACACAAGTACATAGGTTCAAGCTCTCCTTTAGTAAGTACTAGTGAATGATTTTGTACAAATGACATTAGGAAATATTGTGAGAGAATGATCTCTATTTATAGAAAAGAGTTTCTAGTTTCATTCTGACATTGACATGTGTCGTGTTGTGATTAGCTTCTGATGTTGACACGTGTCGTGCTATGATTGGCTTCTGATGTCGACACGTGTCGCGCAGTTATTGGCCTCCTGGTTGGACGGAAACTCTTCTGGGTCCTTGACGGTATAACGTTGACTGGTGCTTAGTAGTTTCGGGATTGGTCAAGTATGGTACAAACAGTGCTGCCCTAAGTTCCCGAGTGAGGGAAGCTCCTCGGTTAGGGACTTGCAAGATCCAAGCTATTGAGTAATCACGAAACTTCTAAGTACCGAAGTGTGGTATCATTTTCACTTGCCTTATCTGTCTCATATGTAGATGTGGCATCTTCTCTGGAATACTTTTCCTCCATCCAGGGGTAGTATCTTTAACTGATAAAGATGCACAAGGTAATGTATCAATTTCACTTGAAGCTTACTTGTAGTTTCGGGCTTGGTCAAGTGCGATACAAACCTTATAGTAGGAGTCCCCCAAGTCGCTGAGCTAGGAGATTTGCCGAAGGAGGTAATGCACAAGGTAAGCAATCAGACTTCCAAGCAAGCAACCTGGATCGGAGGTTCGACTTCGGCTTCCGATTGATTGTTCTCATTCTCCTTGTGTCGTAAACAGCAACAAGGATAAGGAGAAGAAAATGGAGAAGAGATGATATGAGATACTTTTGCTTTTGAAGAATTAACTTTCCACAAGCTTATTCTTGAACTAGGCTGAAGGGTTTTCTGGTTTCCTCCAGAGTATAAGGCCGACTCAAGAATTTGAGGGTTAAAACAAGTCCATCAAATCTAGAGTACGTTCGACCCTGATGATATGAGATACTTTTGCTGTTGACAAAGTAATGGATGTATCAGCACGTGTTCTGTTACGCTTGTCTCCACATGCTTCCTTGTATCCTTCTCACTTGCCCTATCTATTCCTCAGGCAGATGTGGTATCTTCTTTGGAAGCATAAGATGTTGAAGATGAGTACTCGAGAGCAATGCCAGGTAAGTAATCAGGCAAGCGGTTCCAGGAAATCAGTTCCTGACTGGAAGCTTGATTCCAAGTGCTGACTGATTGCTCTCTTTCTCCTTGTTTTACAGGTAAGAACAAGGCCAAAGGAAAAGACAGGGAAAAAGCATGATATGGGATACTCTTGTTTTACCCTGATGATATGAGATACTCTTGCTCTGGTGTGGCTTGTTTGCAAAGGTATTATCGAGAGGAAAAGAAGCTGAGTATTTCGAGAGACTCTGCTGAGAGTGCCCTCTCGGATGTGAAGAAAAGTTGAGCATTTTTTTTTATTTGCAAGTTTGTCTGGCTGTAGAGGATGGAAGTCGACATATATAGGAGTCTCCCTAACAACAAGTAGTAGTGCTATTCCTTTACCCTTCTTGGTCATAGCAATGTAGTGGAAGCTGCAAGCTTCACGTGTTTTAATTTTGTCAGAGCACTTTGAAAAAGTGGTCTATGGTATCTGGAAAGCTGATGTTGCGTGTGAAGATTGCAAACAAGCTTTATCCAAGGAAATCTGGCTCTCGAAGTTCGAAGAGTAGTGCCTCTTCGGTTTTCGAACAAGCAATCCTGTCGGGGATTTGGCTTTCGAGATTCAGAGAAAGGTGCCTTTTCAATTTTTGAGAAAGCAATCATGTTGGGAGTCTAACTCTTGAGATTCGGAGAGTAGTGTCTCTTCGATTTTTGAGAAAGTAATCTTGTTAGGAGTCTGGCTCTCGAGATTCGGATGACGGTGCCTCTTCGAATTTTTGAGCACGTAATCCTGTTGGGAGTCTGGCTCTCGAGATTCGGAGAGCGGTGCGTCTTCGATTTTTGAGAAAGCAATCCTGTTAGGAGTCCGACTCTTGAGATTCTGAGAGCAGTGTCTCTTCGATTTTTTAGAAAGTAATCCTATTGAGAGTCT